TTGCCCATCCCTAACTGCCCCAAAACTCAATGACTTGCTGGGGCCATTCAGAAGTAAGTTAAGAACCAACCACATATAAAATTCCAACAGGACTGGACAGAGTAAATGCAGAAGGGTTTGCTCCATTAGCTGGGGAGCCCAGAACCAGGGGATCACAGTCTAAGAATATGAGGTAAGGCCATTGAGGACTGAGATGGGGAGAAATTTCTTCACCCAGAGAGTGGTGAGTCTGTGGAGCAGTTGAGTTAAAACATTGTGTGAATTCAAGAAGGAGTTCGATATGGCACTTGGGGCTAAAGGGATCAAAGGATATGAAGGGAAAATGGAAACAGAGTTGGGTGATCATCCCCAATCATAATGATTGCACAACAGGCTCAACAGACCAACGTGCCTACTCCTGCTCCTCTTTTCTATGTTTCCATGTCATACTTGGAATCAAATGGAATCGGTAGGAAACAGGAACAGGAGTCTGAATGGACAATCAGCCATGATCATACTGAATAGTAGGACAGGCTTGAAGGGCTGAGTGGCGTAAAATCAACCAAATAACCCTCATTTACCTTTCCGTTAAATGTGGGGCCCTGGATCTTCGGGCCTAGCTGGATAATTATGATGGTTAAAGCTGCGAATTGATTTTACAAACTCTCCTCTGCCAAGGATTTAATACGATGCACCCTGTGAGGAGAATCAAACCAGGTGCATCTTTTTCATGGAAACCAAACTGAGCTCTTGTATGCTATTAATAAAACGATACTTTTATGAAGAATTCTCCTGAAATTACTCCCAGGCACCCTGTCCAATTCAGCGATAGTTCCGTGTCATGGATTATGAACTTATAAAGATTCATTGCACTAATATTTCCAAATCCCTCCTTCATCATCAAATTTAATTGTCTATTCTCCTCTCAAGGGTGTATACGAAGTCAGCGTTTACCCTTCCCACATGCAGAGCACTATAATTTATAAACACCGGATAGGAGCTCAAGGGCTCTCCTCCACTCTGTCATTTCCGAAAGATGATTTTCATCTATAGTCATAAATCTCACATCTATCACCTTTCAACTCGCAGAACAATCCCCCACACAGCATCAGTCTCAACCATTAATGAGAGACAACACATAATACTGCGATTGTCGCAATACTGATCTCTCAGGAGCATTGTCAAATAGACCCAAATCCAACATCAGCCATTTCCCCACCTACAGCTCCTCACCTGATGCCCCATTAAGGTTCTGGAATTGACACAGGAACCAAGGACAGGCTGAGAAAAATCATTGCCAGGTGGTGGGATGCGGTAACCTACTGCCTCAGAGGGTGTGGGAAGAACAGATCTCAAAAGGAAATTTAATAAATGCTTGCAAAGGAACTTTTTTGAAAATTGCAGGGCTATGAGGAAGGCACAGGGAACTGGGATAGCAGCGCAAAATGGGCTGAATCTCCTCTTCCTGCCAGAGAGCTATGTGAGCTCAATCATTGCACATGTTAAAGACAGAAATAATTGGTGCCTAGAAATGAACACGCGAACAAACATACAGGTTAGCAACAAGAGTGGGATATTCAGCCCATCGAACCTATACAGCCCTTCAATAAGACAATGACTGATCTTATTGACACCATTAAAAATAGGCGCATGAGTAGGCCTTTCGGCCCCTCAGGACTGCTCTACCATTCACTAGGATCATGTGATCCAACAGTCCTCACATCTACTTCCTTCCCTTTTCCCCATAACACTTGATTCCCCACATTCTTGCTTACCCTAACATTTCATCCCCTCACTTAGCAAGAATCTATCTCCCTCTGATCTATCGTGTCGGGAGACTGAGGAAAAGTAGTGTGGAGGTAGATGATCGGCCATGTTTTATTTGATGTGGAAATACCGGTGTTGGACTGGGGTGGACTAGGTCAGAAGTCACACGGCACCAGGTTATAGTCCAACAGGTTTATTTGAAATCACAAGTTTTTGGAGCGTAGCCCCATCACCTGACGAAGGAGCAGCGCTCCACAGGCCTGTGATTTCAAATAAACCTGTCGAACTATAACCTGGCATCATGTTTTGTTTGAACAGCCATGATTATCCAAAAGCCTCTTCCTATTCATGTTTGGATTGTTGTTTCTTCAGTGTCACTCAGTCATAGTAGAAACATAAAAAGTGGCCATTCAGCCCTTCGAGCCTGAACCACCATTCAATGTGATCATAGCTGATCTTCCCGCTTTCTCCACATACCCTTTGACCCCTTTAGTCTTAAGAACTATCTAGATCCTGGAAACCTTCCCCAAAAAACATTGTTTTTGCCAACATTTTTGGAAATATATCACTGTTGTTGGGTCAAAGTCCTGTAACTCCCTCCCTAACGGCATTGTGGGTCAACACAAAGCACATGGACTTAGCGGCTCAAGAAAGCAGCTCACCACCTCCTTGTCAAGGGCCACTTTTGGAATACTGTGTGCAGTTCTTGTCTCCCTGCTATAGGAAGGATGTTGTGAAACTTGAGAGGGTTCAGAAAAGATTTACAAGGATATTGCCAGGGTTGGAGGGCTTGAGCTACAGGGAGAAGCTAAATAGACTGGGGCTATTTTCCCTGGAGCATCAGAGACTGAGGGGTGACCCTATAGAGTTTTACAAAATCATGATGGGCATGGATAGGAGAAATAGCCAAGGTCTTTTCCACAGGGTAGCAGAACCGAAAACTAGAGGGCATAGGTTTAAGGTGAAAGGGGAAAGATTTAAAAGGGACCTAAGGGGCAACTTTTTCACACAGAGGGTGGTGTGTGTGTGGAACGAGCTGCCAGAGGAAGTGGTGGAGGCTGGTACAATCACAACATTTAAAAGGCATCTGGATGGGTATATGAGTAGGAGGGATTTAGAGGGATATGGGCCAAATGCTGGCAAATGGGACTAAATTTATTAAGGATATCTGGTCAGCATGGACAATTTGGACTGAAGGGTCTGTTTCCATGCTGTACATCTCTATGACTCAATGTCTCTAACTAGGAACTGGCAATAAATACTGGTTCAGCCAGTAACACCCACATCCCATGAATGAATAATAAAAAGTAACATTTCCTACGTTCCTTTGTACAGTTCAATGATTCCATAAGTTGGGTGCTGGAGTCCAAAACTAAAGGGTGTAGGTTTAAGGTGAGAGGGGAAAGATTTAAAAGGGACCTAAAGGTTAGCTTTTTCACACAGAGGGTGGTGCGTGTATGGAATGAGCTGCCAGAGGAAATGGTGGAGGCTGGTACAATTACAGCATTTAAAAGGCATCTGGATGGGTATATGAATATGAAGGGTTTAGAGGGATATGGGCCAGATACTGGCAAATGGGACTAGATTAATTTAGGATATCTGTTCTGTTTCCATGCTGTACAGCTCTATGTCTCTATCTTGTAAATGGTTGACACTGCTGCTACTGTGCATCAAAGAACAAAGAACAAAGAAAATTGCAGCACAGGAACAGGCCCTTCGGCCCTCCAAGCCTGTGCCGATCCAGATCCTCTATCTAAACCTGTCGCCTATTTTCCAAGGATCTGTATCCCTCTGTTCCCTGCCCATTCATGTATCTGTCTAGATATATGTTAAATGACGCTATCGTGCCCGCCTCTACCACCTCCTCTGGCAATGCGTTCCGAGCACCCTATGGGGACTTGAGCTTCTGAAAAGCACCCTGAGCCTGACGTGATTTGAACATGCAACCTTCTGATGAGGGAGTGGGTGTTGATGGCAGATAGGGTGCTAATAAAGCGGGCTGCTTTGTTCTGGATTAGTGGATTATGTTCTGGATTATTGAGTGCTTTTGGAGCTGCACCCATAGAGACAAGTGGGGAGTATTCCATCACACTCCTAACGTGCCATATAGGTGGTGGACAGGCTTTGGGGATGCAGGGGGTTGCCACAGTATTCCTAGCCACTGACCTGCTCTTGTAGCCACTGTGTTAATGTGGCTAAGTAAAGTTGCCAAATCCAGGGATTGGTCTGATAAACCTTCTCTGAACCTGCTTCCAATGTTTTTACAGCCTTGCTTATATAAGGTGCCGCATACTGTGCACAATACTCTAGGTGCGACCTCTTCAATGCCCTGAAACATTACTCCTCTCCTTCTGTTTTCAAATAACCTCAAGATAAATGATAACATTCTGTTCATTCTGAATTACCTGCAGACTAACCTTTTGTGACTCACACACTGGGACACCCAGATCCCTCTACATGTCAGAGCTCTGCAATCCCTCACCATTTAAATAAAATGCTGCTTTTCTATTATTCCTGCAATCTGTGCAATTTCATACTTTCCCACCTTATATGCCATTTGCCAGATCTTTACCTCTGGGGTTTAGCTCGTACAATGTTCAGACCAAGGTTGTAATAAGATCAGGAGCTGGATGGACCTGGTGGAAACCAAACTGAGCATCAGGGAATAAATCATTGCTGAGCAAGTGTAGGGCAGCACGGTGACTCAGTGGTTAGCACTGCTGCCTCACAGCGTCAGGGACCTGGGTTTGATTCCACCCTCGGGGAACTGTCTGTGTGGTGTTTGCATGTTCTCCTCGTGTCTGCGTGTGTTTCCTTCAGGTGCTCCAGTTTCATCCTCAGTCCAAAGATGTGCAGGTTAGGTGGATTGACTGTGGGAAATTGCCCATAGTATCTGGGGATGTGCGGGCTAGGTGGCTCAGTGTGAGGTGAAGCGAAGATTTATTCCCAATTCCCTTGTGGGATGTAGGCATCCCTGGCTGGGCCAACTTTTATCATCTGTCCCCAGTTGCTCTGGCGGAAGTGGTGGTGAGCTGCCTCCTTAAACTACAGCGGCCTGCACCCACTGTGCCATTCGGGAGGGAATTCCATGGCCCAGTGATGGCATAGAGATCTAATGCCAATGTACCTGCCTCACTTTCTATTCTTGATGGTATTGGTGGTAGGTGGGGTGCACTGCAGTGCAGAATTGGTCACCAAAGTGAAGGATGACATCCTACGTGCAGTTTCCAATTGACGTTGTGTTACTTTGCCAGGTGCTGGGATGTTATTGAAGGTTCGCCGTACTGGTGGATAATCAAAGGACCAATTGTGGCGTCTATCGCAGTAAGTAATGCCATTAGAGTAAGACTTTTAGTAAGAACTAGGAGCAGGAGTAGGCCATTCAGCCCCTCGAGCCTGCTCCACCATTCAACACGATCATGGCTGATCTCATCTTGGCCTTAGCCCCACTTTCCTGCCAGCTCCCAATAACCCTCCCTCCAACCCGTTACTAATTAAAAATCTGTCTCCTCCTTAAGTTAAAGTCAGCCACATTGACTAGATGGGCTTGTGACACAATTTTGGGTTTAGACTCACTTTTTCCACTCTTTCAATTTTTCACCATCTGCTTTGATGGGATTCAGACCAACATCTCCGGAACGTTAGCCTGGAGTTACTAATCCAGTGACAGTATCGTTACACCAGTCTGTCAGCCATTGGTGTGTCTATCTCAGCCTCAGGGGACTGGTCAGGGCTCTGGCCCAGTGACCTGGTCAGAAGGCCAGCCTAAAGATTTCAACACGGCATCAGCCCTGTTTCTCCCAAGGCCCTCGTGTCTGAACCTGAAGAACTGTTTTTGTTTAACGTTATGAGGAGAGATTGCACAAATTAGGCCTGTTTGCTCTAGAATTTAGAAGATTAAGGGTTGATCTGATTGGTGTCTTCAAGATATTATCAGGTAAAGGCAGGGTAGATAGTGATAAACTATATCTATTGGCTGTGGATTCTAGGACTTGGGGCATAGTATGAGAATTAGGGTCAGACGTTCAGGAGAGATGTTAGGAAGCATTTCTACACACAAAGGGTGGGAGAGGTTTGGAACTCCCTTCCACAAAACGGCAGTGGATGCTGGATCACTTGTTAATTTTAAATCTGAGAGAGATAAGCTTTTGTTAAGCAGAAGTTTTAAGGGATATGGGCCTAAGGCAGGGAAACAGAGTTAGGTCACAGATCAGCCATGATCTCATTAAATGGTGGAACAGGCTCTGGGGCTGAATGGCCTACTCCTGTTTTTACCAGTTTAATTAAGGCCCTGTCTTGTGGAAATAATCCCATGGCCCGACATCAAAAAGAACAGAAAGGTTTTCCTTGCCAACCTGACTGACATTGAACCCTCAACCTAATGATTAACTATATTTATTTGACTCCGATCAGTTGAATGAATAGCAGGGCAGGCTGGAAGGCCTATTCCTGCTCCCGCTTCTCACGTCTTTCCCTTTCCCTTTCTGCAGGTCAACTTTGTGCTTTTCATTAACATCATTCGAATCCTGGTGCGGAAGGTGATTCCGAAGGAGGTTCGCTCAACTAACTCCTCGCAGTACAGGTAGGTGCTAGCAGAAAGCAGTCTGTGTTTGCAGGCCAGCACCGCGACCCCTTTCCCCTCTGATCATGGAGGGCATGTTAGGCTGGGCTGCCATTCTGCTGGTTAGAAGTTGCAGGAAATGGGTGTGGTTGATTCTGCATGAAGGTGATAGAGGCAGGAAGACAAGGGCATTGAGTATTAGCCAAACCCCCTTCAGGTACCCCCAGCCAATGCTGGGTACCACTATGCTGCCCAGTCTCACCATTAAAATACCCCTGCTTGAGGGAGACACTTTTGCCCTCTCACTGATTCCATGGCTAATTCAGTTTCCTAAAGCCTGTTTCCATGGCTAACCCACCTAGCCTACACATCAACACTACGGGCAATTTAGCATGGCCAATCCACCTAGCTTGCACATCTTTGGACTGTGGGAGGAAACCAGAGCACCCGGAGGAAACCCACGCAGACACGGGGAGAATGTGCAAACTCCACACAGACAGTCGCCCGAAGCTGGGATTAAACCCAGGTCTGTGGCACTGTGAGGCAGCAGTGCTAACCACTGAGCCACCGTGCCACCCCTTCTGTATCCACTTGTCAACCAATCAACCCTTCCCTTGGAAATTGTCCTGATGAGTTCAAGTCAAAGAGGCTTGACAAAATGTGTCTTTTTCCAGGAATTAACTAGTTAGGCACAAGTACAACTGTCAGGAATCAGGTGTAATGTGTCCAGCTCCTCCAGAACTAAATATTTTTCCTGACAAAAGCTGCATGACACCTCAGGTTTGGTGCCAACTAAAGGATCTTCAAAGTAACTCTTCCAGAAGCCTTATCTCATGCAAAATCTCCCCACAAGCCTTTGTATAACATTGATGCATGTAAGTGCAGTTACCTTCACCAAATACACCTCCCAAATCTCCGACTTTACAAATGGAGGCAGTCTATGTAGCCAGGTAAACTGTGTCTGTCTCCATCAGAATCCCAGCAAGATTAACCACGGTGTGACCGTGTGACTTCATCAGGATGGCTGGAGTTAATGCAACTCTGACATCAACTTTTTCAGAACCATGACCCCTGAGAACAAGTTTTGTTCCATGCCTGGGGCAGCCCTGAGCTGTGAGGATCTGGGAAGCATTCCAGAACTTATCCTTCAGGACAACATTTGACTATCACATTGTTTCATTGAATTGTTCTCCCCTCTACACAGGCGACTGACAAAGTCAACCCTTCTGCTGGTCCCTCTGTTCGGTGTGCACTACATTGTGTGTGCTTTCCCTCCTGATGGAGCAGTGCTAGCCATTAGACTTTATCTTGACCTTTGCATCGGGTCATTTCAGGTATGGCAAACTTTGGATGATCACCTTTTTTTGTTGAGGAGTGCCATGATGTTATTGCTGATGATAGAAACAATCTTGGGATCTGACAATCCTTAATAGACTGTTGCGAACAAACAATCATATAGATTAACAGTGTGCACAGGCCATTCACTCCCTCAAGCCTGTCCTGCCATTCCATATGATCATGGCTGATCTGCCCTGGTCCCAATCCAGCTCCTCAGAATTCCCTGATATTTCAAAAACCTACCTAGCTCCTCTTTAAATACTTTCAGTGATCTAGCCTCCAGAAGTCTCTGGGGTAGAGAATTCCAGACATTCACTACCCTCTGGGAGAAGAAATTCCTCAGTTCTAACTGAGTGTCTCCTTATTCTGTAACTGTGTCCCCTAGTTTGAGATTCTCTAATGAGTGGAAACATCTTCTCAACACCTACCTTGTCAAGCCCTCAGAATCTTACGTATTTTCATAAGATCACCCCTCATTCTTCTAAATGAGCCAAGGCCTAACCTGTTTAGCTGTTCTTGATAAAGCAACCCCTTTATCCAAGGAATCGGATTTTCTGAAGAAGGGTCCCAACCCGAAACGTCAGCTTTCCTGCTCCTCTGATGCTGCCTGGCCTGCTGTGTTCATCCAGCTCCACACTGTGTTATCTCTGACTCCAATACAGCAGTTCTTGTTATCTATCAGTTGAGCGAATCTCTCTTGAACAATACTGATGCTGGTAGATTTTTTCAAGCATGGAATCTAAACTGTCCACGGCACTCCAGGTGTGGCCTCACCACCAACACCCTGTACTGTTGTAACAAGACTTCTCTCAATTTAAACTCCAACCCTCCAGCAATAAAGGACAAAATTCTATTTATCTTCTTAATTACTTGCTGTACCTCTATGCTAACATTTTGTGTTTCATGCACAAGGACACCCAGACCCCTCTGCACAGCACTTTTCCAGAACTCTCCATTTAAGTAACAGACTGCATCTTAGATTCTTCTGACCAAACAGTGTGACCTCACACTTTGCTACATTAAACATCCATTTGCTATGTTTTTGCCAAGTTCCTTCACTATCATTGGGTCAAGATACTGGAATTCCCTCCCTAATGGCATTGTGGGTTAACCCACGGCATATGGACTGCAGCGGTTCAAGAAGGCAGCTCACCCCCACCTTCTCAAGGGGCAACTAGGGATGGGCAATAAATACTGGGCCCAGCCAGCAATGCCCATGTTCCACGAGCGAATTGAGAATAAATCTCATCTTTACCTTCTCTGCTGTATGGAGAAAGAACCCAGCTTCTCCGATATGATGGAACTACCCAAATCTGAGACTGAAATAACTTCACAGAGGCTGGTATCTCATTATCAACTCACCAAAAATCTTTGACATTACTACTGCCCCTTCAGAGTCAGGTCTTGGAGCACCAGTGTCTCTAACCCTCTTTTTTATCTGTCAGCCAGGGCTCCCTGATTGGACCAGGTTAACAGCCCCAATCAGAGAACTCATATTCTATCATAAAAACAGCGGGTGGTAGGTGCCTGGAACTCGCTGCCGGGGGAGATAGTGGAAGCAGATTCTATAGTGACTTTTCTTGACAAATACATGAATAGGATGGGAATAGAGAGATACGGTCCCCAGAATGGTAGGGGGTTTTAGTTGTGATGAGCAGCATGTCGGTGCAGGCTTGGAGGGCCGAAGGGCCTGTTCCTGCGCTGTAATTTTCTTTGTTTAGAAACCAAAAGAACTGCAGATGCTGTTAAGCAGAGGTTGCTGGAAGAGCTCAACAGGGCTGGTGGCATCTATGGAGAAAAATGAGAGTTAATGTTTCGGGTCGAGAGACCCTTCCTCAGAACATGTATTCTATGAGGTCCTTCTGTCTGACCTTGTTCCAGTCACTGCAGAGACCATTCTGGGAAATGTCTCCCAAGTTACCAACTCTCCAGTCTCGCCTTGGAGTTTCCATGAGATGAGCATTAAACGCTGGAATGGATGTGTGAGCAGTGCTGGGGCAGAAGTGTTAAATGCAGCGTGGAATATTACAAAAGGAGCTCTCAAAACCTTTGACTCACTCTTGTCATTTTGGCTCAGTAGGCATTGATATATTAGAGTGTTGACATATAGATGTATGAGAGAAGCATGTTCAGTGGCCAGCTCTCAGCTTGTAAAATCATACATCTGACAAGAATTAGGAACTGTGTCCGTACCATCTCCAAGGCTCTCCATAAAGTTTCTGAGGGATTCTGTCAGGTTTAGTAAAGGCACTTAAACTCCTTGGAGTCAGATGCTGTTGGTGTCAGACTCAGAGATTAAAGATTTTGGAAAAAATTGGATTCAAAACAGAAAGGGCTGGACGAATTTGGCAGGCCTGGCAGCATCTGTGTGGAGAGAGAAACGGCATTAACATTTCGGATCCGGGGAGATTTATTTTCATCCAGAGGGTGGGGGTGGGGGGATGCTCTGGAATGCATGGCCTGGGAGAGGGGGTTGAGGCTAGTAGCCTCACAACCTTTCAAAAGTACTTGGATGAGCGCTTGAGATCTATGGAGGGAGCGTGCTGCAGAGTGGGACAAGCTGAGGTAGAAGGGTATTTTTGTTGGTATAGACTTGATGGACCAAAAGGCCTTATCTATACTGTAGGATTCCATGAGATAGTGACCTCGCGGTAATGGGAAATAAATCTGTGATGGAATGTTTATCAGAATCAGCCAATGTCCTTTAGGGAAGGAAATCTGCCATCTTTACCTGGTCTGGCCTACATGTGACTCCCTACCCACAGTAATGTGGTCGTCTCTTGACTACCCTCTGAAATGACCCCGGCAATCCACCCTGTCCAAAGGGAATTAGGGATGGGAAACAAATGCTGGCTTTGTCCGTGACACTCAATGAGAGGTTAAAGTTGCAGAATTCTTGTTGAAGTTCCACCAGCCCCCCACAGGGTCATTTGTCACGAGAGAAGCATTGCTGGATTTTCTGCCCATAATTGCCCTTGAGAAGGTGGTAGGGAAGCTGCCTGTCTCAAACCTTGTGCTCCTTGGGATGTAAGAACTATTAGGCAGGAAGTTTCAGCATTTTGACCCAGCGACAGTGAAGGAACAGCGATATATTTCCAACTCAGGGCAGTGAGTGGTTTGGAGGGGAACTTGCAGGGGATGGTGTTCCCATGTATCTGCTGCCCTTGTCCTTCTACATGGAAGTGGTCATGGGTTTTGAAATATCTCCACAGAGATCAATATCCCATCACCGAGTCCCCCCTTTATTTACACGTGGAGAGTCCTTGACACTGACCCAGCTCCCTCAGAGCCAGCTCTCAGAGTGAGCAGAGCCTCTGACACTCCTGTTTCTATCTGTCAGCCAGGGCTCCCTGATTGGACCAGGTTAACAGTCCCGATCAGGGGGCTCATATTCTATGAGGTCCACCTGGCCGACCTCCTTCCAATCACTACAGGATCTTTGGTGAATTTCTGTAATGCATTTTGTAGCTGGCACACACTGCTGCTACTGAGCGTCAGTGGTGGGGGGAGTGGGTTCTTGTGGATGTGGTGCCAATCAAGCGGCTGCTTTGTCCTGGATGGTGTCAAGCTTCTTGAGTGTTGTTGGGGCTGCACTCATCCAGGCAAGTGGGGAGTATTCCATCACACTCCTGACTTGTGCCTTGTAGATGGTGGACAGGTTTTGGGGAGTCAGGAGGTGACATTTCCCAGGTTCTGCCCTCCTGTTATAGCCACAGGTTTACCTGGCTGGTACAGTTCAGATTCTGATCAATGGTACCCCCAGAATGTTAAATAGGGGGCATACAAATGCAAGCGAGGGAGTGCTGCACTGTCAGAAACACCACCTTTCAGATGCGATGTTAAACTGAGGTGGTTTTCACCATCCTTGGTGGATATAAATGATCCTTTGGCTCTGTATTAGAGATGATGGGAACTCTCCCTGGATGTCCCGGTGACATTGTGAAATCAGCCATGTCACATTGGGGTTTGTGGGAGCTTGCTGTGTATGCAAATTGGCTGCTGCATTTCCAACATTCCAGCAGGGTCTCCCCTCCAAGAAATTTAAGAAGTGCCTCATTAGGCTTTGAAGTGCTTTGGAACATCTGGTGGTTGTGGAAGGTGCTGGAGAAAATGTTTCTTTTATTTTTAAACAGCTGATCGAATCAGCAATGTCAATATTTTCCTGATTGTGTTGTGATGGGTTCCCTGTTCTCTGTTCACAGGGTTTTATCGTGGGAGTGCTGTACTGCTTTCTGAACCAAGAGGTAAGCAAACTCTTTTATTTATTGCAAGAACATACTTTATATTCATTAAAAAAATCTTTGTGCACGTACACAGTTACTGAAGCAGTTCTGTACAGTCTTAGTCATAGAGGTGCACAGCACGGAAACAGACCCTTCGGTCCAACTTGTCCATGCCAACCAGATATTCTAAATTAATCTAGACCCATTTGCCAGCATTTGGCCCATATCCCTCTAAACGCTTCCTATTCATATACCCATCCAGATGCCTTGTAAATGTTGTTATTGTAGTTGCCTTGCCCTGTCGATTCTGCTGTGCTGTTTGATCATAGCTGGCATGTTACTTCATCCTGTCCTCCTGCTTTCTCCCCATAATCTTTAACCCCCTCACTAATCAAGAACCTATCTATCTCTGTCTTCAATACACCCAATGACTTGGCCTCCATAGCCTTCTGCAGCAATGGGTTTCACAGAGTCACCCCCCTCTGGCTGAAGAAATTCCTCCTCATCTCAGTTCTAATGGGTTGTCCCTTCACTCTGAGGCTGTGCCCTCAGGTCCTAGGCTTTTCTACTGGTGAGAACATCTCCACATCCGGGATGCTCAGTATTCTGTAAGTTTCAATCAGATCGTCCCTTATCCTTGCCCTTGAGAAGGTGGGGGTGAGCTGCCTTCTTGAACCGCTGCAGTCCTCCTGCTGTGGGTTGACCCACAATGCCCCTAGGGAGGGAATTCCAGGATTTTGACCCAGCGACAGTGAAGGAACGGTGATGTATTTCCAAGTCAGGATGGTGAGTGGAACTTGCAGGGGGTGGTGTTCCCATGTATCTGCTGCCCTTGTCCTTCTAGATGGAAGTGTTCGTGGGTTTGGAAGGTGCTGTCTGAGGATCTTTGGTGAATTTCTGCAGTGCATCTTGTAGGTAGTACACACTGCTGCTACTGAGCATCGGTGGTGGAGGGCATGGGGGAGGCAGTTCCGTATAGCTCAGTTGGCTGGGCGGTTGGTATGTGAAGCAGAGTGATGCCAACAATGTGGGTTCAATCCCCACACTGGCTGACTCTCCTTCTACAGCCTCTCCTCTCACCTGAGATGTAGTGACCCTCAGATTAAACCACCACCAGTTGTCTCTCTCTAATGAGAGAGCAGCCCTCTGGTCTGATAAGACAATGGCAAATTGGCCTTGAAGGGAGTGGATATTTGTGAATGGACTCAAAATGATATTGTAATA